AAAGAGGAAAAAAGAAGCAAGGACTGCTATTATCTGGGAGACAGAAGGATTCCACGTTGTTGGCATACCCTGCCAACATGGCATAACCTGCCCTGGTGCTGCTGTAGGTTTGGCTTTGCCCAATCCAGGTTGGTAGAGCCTGTACCAGATTCTGGTCTTGAGACAGTGAGAGTATCCCCTTATGGCCATTAAGACAGAAGGAGAATAAAATCAAAGGGAATCAGGAAAAGCCTCCACACTCATTATGAAAACAAAACTGTGCTAGGAAACATGATGCGTATTTCTTTTAATCAAAAGCAGGAAGACATTTGGAGCACTTGGGGCCATCGATTGCCCTCCAGCTCATGGCGGAAGTCCCCGCTGATGTCAATGGGAGCTCTGCACGCGAATAGCGGGGGCATGGAGACGCCTTGGCGTACCACTGCAGGGAGTGTACCGAGAAAGGCTGTGACTGAGCTTTAAAGCCTACTGAGAGCAGCCAGGGCATTTAGTTGACTTTTATAGAGCACTTCATTGACTTATCCAGGCGCGAACGTGCGTTTCCATTGAAAAAGAAGAAAAAAAGCCAAGCGTAGTGTTTTGTGCTCTTTTCCTGTCCTTGCTTTCGGATGGGCAGGAATCCTGTGAGGTCTGAGCTGCACAGCCCCCACTGCCTCGGTATTGGCATCAGTCAGTGGTGACACTGTGTCTGCGGACAACACCGGTAGTCCCCAGAACAGCTCTTCCTCACACTTGTAATGATCTGGAGATTATGGTACAGGAAACTACTTTGCAAAGCTTGCTGGTTTTGGGCAGGAGCTCTTAATTTTGTGACAAAGACAAACGAGTCTTTGGGGAGTCGTAAATCCATTTGCCTGGTGATGTTAAGGAGCAGGTGACCTCTTCCGTGGCTGAAGCCCCTGAAACAAAAAAGGTTCTTTTCACCGTGCTACACACAGGTTCATTCTTGGTCTTTCCTTGAATCGTACTGCAGAGGAAACGCCAGCCTAACAAGTCCTTAGAGTATTTTTTATTACATACGCATCCTCTATTACTCATAAGTTCCTTTTGCGATCTCAGTGGACATTTAACACCTATTATTAAATAAAGCATTGTGGCTTTCATTTCAAAAAGTTCGTGTAACAATTTCATTAAAGCTCTTTAGGAAAACCTTTTCCGTATTCTGGGGTACATTTGAGATACTCTACCTTAGGATTCTCCGCAGTATAAATTAAAGTAGAATTTGCTTCTCTTCCTGTTTGATGTCTCAAACAAAAATATTATTGCATATAAGAAGAAAATATGATCCTAAGGGCAGAACAGTTTTATGACACTGGGAAGTGCAGATTGCACTTTTGAAAGAGAAGCAAAAGTAATGTATTTGAAGAACTACTTGAGTGAACATAGGTCAACACGCAGATGTCTGGGACCAGAACAATTGAATAAAGTACTACAGTTGGAGGTTTTATAAAGGGTCAATTCTTGCTGGCTTTATCATTTCTTATCCAAGAAAGATTTCCATTGTTGTTTGTAAGATTTTTGACTGAGTGAAAATAATAGAATTTGCCTGAAAAAACATTGGAGCCGCAGATAAGCAGAGAATTAAGATCTGAATGTTCCACTTTTTCAAGAGTTAAAAACTAAACCGTATGTGAATTTTGAGGTAGTCTGTCTGTGATGTGAGTCAAACCGAACCTCCAGATCTGAACACCTGCAAAGAAGATTTGGAGCCAGAGCCTGTGTCTTGAGCCCCTCTTTGTTAAGTGGTCCAAACAATAGCAGCAGCAATGTTCCCTGTTCCCAGCGCAAGCTATTTATGACAATGCCCTTTGTTAAGGGGATTGTTCAAGGGACGGTAAATTACTCTGCCAAGCTTTAGTTATTGAGTCGAAAGGAATTAATGTTTTCCTGGCATTTTCATTTACCTTGTCACTTAAAAAAGAGACATATACGTATTGTGAGAGTGGGAAGGAGGAGAATAATTAACCCTCGCTAGTCCATATTCTCAGAGTTGAAAATAAGGCTGGATAATCACAATAGATTGTTTCTCCTGGTGAAGTCAGTGTGAGTTTTTCCCATCAATTGCCTTGCAGAGAGCAGGAACATGTCCTCTGTAGGGGTTTCCTGATAAGTGAATTTCAGCTCACTTCCCATATAATTACTTCTCCTTGTGATAATAAAATAGAAATGTCCTGAAATAATAAACACATATCTCAGCAGTAGAGATGATGCTGTAATGGGAAAAATGTGCTTCAACTGTCCTGGATTTTAAAGTAGATATCAAAGTACTGCTATTGATATTGAGTGATAAATATATTTTCAAATATTTAATAATGTTTTGCTGAATTGTTTAGATAAAAGTAAACAGAAGATTGATTGGAGGACTTTGTCTAGCTTTTGTTATGGACAGGGTTAATCTCTTCTTTCAAGGCTGTACGCACCGTTACAATTTCCACACACTGTCTTAAGATTTCAGATATTAACCTTTTCTTTTTCTTCTCTTGCAGATACTAGCAATCCATTTGTAGAGATGCACAGTGATATACCTAAAATAATACACATGACTGTGGGAAGAGAAATGATCATTCCATGTAGAGTCACAGCACCAAATATTGCTGTTACTTTAAAAAAGGTACCTCAATCCAAGCATGCTCTGAAAGTGTTATTGTGGATGCTGCTTGTTTGTTTGTTTGTTTACAGCCATTGTAATGCTTTTGCAATATTTCAGCAGTTTAGTATTTCTTAAACAAAGTTTCTGGGTGTCTGTGTGTTTAGAAATATTTCAGCCCTGGAGGCTTCGTATCATATCTCGGAGAAGGGCTTCATCAAATCTCTTGCACTGGATGTGAGTTTTCTGAAGAAACTTAAACTTTTCATACCGTTTTATTAAATCCTCACTGACAAACGTTTTTTAAGCCCAGGAAGGAATTTCTTGTTAGGAGAAGAGACTTCCTCCCACCTCTTCCCCTGCCCTTCCTCCCCTTTCCTCCTCTGTCCTCTGGAACAGCCGCTAAGTGCAGTCCCTGGAGACTTGCAGGGGCTGTACAAGGATCTCTGCAAGCCTTTGCCTCACTCCCACCAGCGACTTTGCTGCTTCCTTTTACACATGAGTGCGCTTATCAGACAAGGGATGGCTTCTCTTTG